CAAGCTTTCCTCAGTCTGGAGAACCAAAACTACATCAAACAGGTGCATATCTTAATATCTTTGTGTGGTATTTCTGGGGCCATGTTTTTATTTTAAAGTGTTATAATTATCTATACATTACTCCTTGTAATCGCTGTCATTGTGGCTTGGTTAATCTACACATGCTGTTAGCAAAGCCTCCTTTAGCTGCTATGACTTACAGACGGCAGCCAAACATGACACAGCCATTTGCAGCCCCCCCACCCAGGGAGTCAGGGAGAGAATTGGAGGGGTAAAGGTCAGGAGACCTGTAGGTTGAGATAAGAGCAATTTAATAATTCTTCTGTATAGTTTCCATGTGGTATGTGAAGGAGCAAGCTAATATAGAAGGCTTGAAGTAAAAGTAAATACAGTTTAGCTTAAGTTTTTGTTGTTTTGGGGTTTTTTCCAGTAAATGCAAAAAACAATACCATTTTTTTCAGCTTTGGCAGTATCAGACTAATTTTAAAAAATATATATACATATTTTTCAGATGTTTCATGTAGTGACTTGTCATCCATTAGCAGAAGTCCTTTTGATGTGGTAAGTTGACCTTCAGGTTTCACTAAGACAATCTGCATGTTACTGTATTGTTAAACCTTTCCTACATAATCAGTTACTGCACAAAGTAAACTAAACTCTGTTATCAAGCCACTTTATATACCTTTAAATACAAGCCACAGTTCCTTTCTCCATGCTCAGGCTCACACTGTTACTCCTTACTCCACGTGATGAGTGTAGGATGAATCATTTATAACAGAAGAATGTCTGATTCTTATCAGATTGATCCTTTAAATTAGATATCTTGTGTATTTCCTTGTAAATATGGCCTGGCCTTTTTCTTCCACTTCCTTCTTCAAGTTTTTCAGGTCTATCCAATCTTTTTTTTTTAATACCCTTATCTTTTAGAGCTTGGAAGTAAGATTCAACAGGGAAAAAGCAGGTGTGCAAAAACTTTCAAATTGTTAAAAGAATTTGGGTGTACAGTTTCTTAGAATCATAGAATGCTTTGGGTTGGAAGGGACCTTAAAGCTCATCCAGTTCCAACCCCCCTGCCATGGCAGGGACACCTTCCACTAGACCAGGTTGCTCAAAGCCTCATCCAACCTGGCCTTAAACACTTCCAGAGAGGGGGCATCTACAACTTCCTTGGGCAACCTGAAAAATCTTCTCCTGAAAAATCCAGCTTAAAATCTGGATTACTGATTTAAGTAATGAGTGTCTCCAAATTGGACCACATATTCACGTCTTATTTTTATGTCTGGAAATCAGCTTGCAAAATGTCTCTTAGGCAAGTCATGGTACTTAGAGCGGTAAGTGATTTTTTTTGAGCTGTGGCTGTTGCTTTGAAACAGCATCATATAGAAACAAGCACATTTTGGTATATTTGCATCTCCTGAGTGGCTTTCAGCTCTGCCTGACAGACCCGTGCTTCGCTTATTCTAACGCTGCGGTGTGCTTGCAGCACTGGGTGAGAGGGAAGAGGGTTGCATGCTTCTCTTCCCTTGTCTAAAGCACTTTCTGCTTGTTTTTCATCCTGTGATGTTTAAGTGGCCTCTCAAGTAGGCAGGCACCTAACAGACAGAAGTGGTTGCCTGACAAGAATTGCTCTGGTGTTTTCTTTAGAGAAAGGGGAAATAGCTGTTAGCTTATTCCACGTCTCACTGCAGGGCTGTTTTGCAGAACAGATAATTGTTCCTCAAACAATTCACGCTCTGGTTTCTCCCACAGCCCATGCTGGATGCTGATCTCCCCTTCACTCCAGTCAAGAGCAAAGCCCAGAAGTTTGCAGCAGCTGAAGCATTCAGTGACCTTATTGTATTTTCTCCTCTTTCTCCCTCTGGGGAAAAATGAAGAATGACTTGAAATTCAAAATGTGTAAATTATATTAACCAAAAAAAACTCCCAAAAACCAAACCAACAATCCCCAGAAGATATCTGGAATGCAGTCTGCTACCCTTGAACTGTGTTCTGAGTAAATGAATACCTGTAGTATTTTATAGTGGAACTTATTAAACTATTTTGTAACGTTTATGGTGCGGTCATTATGCACTGTAAGTACCACTGGTATTAGTAGCGGGGCGTTTGCTGGTTGTACCTGCTCTATCCAGTGGTTGCATATTCTGACTACAACCTTGAAATATTTTTATTTTTATATAATTTCATGTATTTCCTGTCTACGTTAAGTTGTAAAACTATTCATCTTTAAGCTTTTTCTGTCCTGACCTTGCCTCATGAATTGTTTTTGTCAGAGATGCCGATCAGACTGGCTGTACCTGCACTCTTTCTGCTGTCAGGGCACCTTCTGGGGGTAAGGCTCAGCCTGTTGCCTCTCCCAAAGCCCCATTTTGTACTCGGTCACTGGTGCAAGGGTCCCACTGCACCCTTAGGCTCCAGTGTTCTGTGCACTCACAACTCTGCCGGATCAGCAGATGTGGCGGGGTTTTCCTGTGTGGAGCCTTCCTGCTGTTTAACAACCACTTCTTTTTAATAGCAGCAACTCTCTCAGAGTGAGGATTTCAAAGTCAGATAGAATATTTTCCTGGCAGTGTATTAAAATAGATATTGATTATTATTTTCTTTAAGGCCACAGTTCTCTATTTGAGTATCAAGCCAAACCCTACTCTCTCTTTGCTTTTTCATGTAAAAAAATCTTTTAACCTCTTTCTCTGAACATTTGACATGTTCACCTCAGCCTCCTCTCACATTTTTGTTCTGCGTGCATTCTCTTATCTCGACTGTAATATATTTATGCAGCAGGAGTGTGTCAGTTATATATACTCTATATTTGAGGAACAGTATTAGAATTATACAGTCATTATATTAGAATTGTACAGTCTTGTTCTTGACCTTAGTGTAACACACATATTCTTTCACTGCCTTTTATTTTAAACCAAGCAAAGGTGATTGAAATCCCTCAGCAGAACACATTGCTGCTACAGCTGAGGGAGCTCGTCTGACTTAAATTTTAACCTGGCAGCTGGGTACTGATTACACTGAAATAAATAGAGGAAGCTAATGTGACTTGGGGTTACTGTGCTGGAATCTCCTTTCTTCATTACTGCACTCCAGTTACATGGATCATTTCAAACTGATAGCTCTTAATGACATCCCTGCTTTCTTCAGTCATCAGCACTGTGCAATGAGATTAGGATCACAGTGGTTGGAAAAGATGTTTAAGATGATTGAGTCCAATCATAAACCCAACACTACCACTTCCACCTCTAAACCATAGCCCTAAGCACCTTCTCTACCTGTCTTTTAAATACCACCAGGGATGGGGACTCCACCACTGCCCTGGGCAACCCCTTCCAATGCCTCAGAACCCTTTCAGCAAAGAAATTCTTCCTCACATCCCATCTCAACTGCCCTGGCCACAACTGGAGCCCATTTCCTCTTGTCCTGTCACTTGTTCCTTGGTTGAACAGACCCACCCCCACCTCTCTCCACCCTCCTCCAAGGGACTTGGACAGAGCCAGAAGGTCTCCCCTCAGCCTCCTTTTCTCCAGGCTCAACAACCCCAGTTCCCTCAGCTGCTCCTCATAAGCCTTGTTAAGGAGGAATTTCTGATACAGCAACTTCAGCCCAGGTTAGCAGGGTGCTGCTCTAGGCTGCTGCATCTGCTGGAATTTTCAATGCTGTGCTTCTAACTGGGCATTTCCAAGTATAAATGAAGCAACTGTTATAAAAGAGTATGAGACATGTCAAAGAGCCTTGAAACCTTCAGTAGTGGCTCTTGGGCTGTTCTTGTTTTGCAGACAGACCAGGGGAATGACTCACAGGGAAGGGAACAGACTTTTTTACCAGCCTGACTCATGAGGTGAAGGTGCCAATAAACCTCCCCACCCTTGAAACCAGTTTTGACTCACACAGAAGTGACAAGGGGAGGGAAGCAAAAGACTCGTGACCCGTTCTGTGCAGTACACAAGGCTTGTACAAATCGGATCTCCCTTGGGAGGGAGAAGCGTTCAGGACATGCTGATTTGGGCCACCAAAGGGGTAGAATGGGCTTTGATACAAGGGAGAGGGGTAACTCTTCTAGCCATGGTCTAGGGAAGACATTTTCCTTCTTCCAGCTCTGAACCCCTCCTGAAATACCCTCATTCTGCTCAGGATCACACTCAAGTTATCCCCATTTTCCAATGTTTCCTAGAGGACAACACCAGTGAGGCAGCACTTCATGAGTTACACACAACCCAGTCACAGCCTGAACATCCACCTCCTCCTCCCCTCGGGGGGGAACCGAAGTCTTTTGCTCCACTATTTTGATTCCTTTAGTGACAAAGGAAGAACTGCTCTACCTTGCAGAGCAACTGAGACTAAACACCAAGTTACTGTCTGCTGTCTGGTACTCGGAGAAGACGGGGTTGAAGATTGCTGCTCTAGAGCACAGGACCATGAGCAAAACACCCCAGGCTGCTCTCCCAAGATGTCCTCTCCATACAAATCAAACAGCTCATAATTGTCATCCTTTGGCAAAGAGATTCGCTGTCTCCACAGAAATAATGCAGATAAATCCATATTTGAACTCTGCTTCCTGGAGGATATTATGTCTTTTGAGATAGTCTTGTGGCTTTTGACAAGGGCAGGGAGTGACAGAACAAGGGGTGATGGCTTGAAACTGGCAGAGGGGAGATGGAGATGAGATTTGAGGAAGAAATTCTTTCCTCCTGTGAGGGTGGTGAGACACTGTCCCAGGTTGCCCAGAGAAGCTGTGGCTGCTCCTCCCTGGAAGTGTTGAAGGCCAGGTTGGATGAGGCTTTGAGCAACCTGGTCTAGTGGAAGGTGTCCCTGCTGCTGGCAGGGGGGTTGGAACTGGATGATCTTTCAGGTCCCTTCCAACCCAAAACATTTTATGATATTGAAAACAAATTTGCCTTGTAGAACCATATTTTATTACCTCAAAGGATTCATGTAAGAAGGCACCTCTGTTACAGCCATATTAAGAGCACTGAGTTTGCATTAAAATTACACCACGGTGGTTATATCATGGTCGGTGTGACGCTGGTGAGGGTGATGTCCCCAGCAATGCACAGCCTGGTGATCTCGTTCAGCTTCTTCTCACGGAAGTTGTACTGCAGCAAGTGAGCATCGTTGACTGCTACCTTGAAGTGATCCACCTCACAAAGGATCTGGATCTGAAATAAAAACCCCCAGTCAGCCAGAAGATAACCATCAGATTTGTTCTAGGGAGAAGTTTTAAGCCAGACTCAAGCAGGCTGGCACTGGCTAACGGCTGCTGCCAGCTGAGTCCAGCCTGGTGGCATGGGGACAAGCTGCTGCCAAAACACCGCTGACCTCTGCCTTCCTCAGAGCCCTGCTGTACTCGTCCTCCTTCATGTTTTAGCCCACTGTTTTAGTTTCTGTCTCCTTGTGACTACAGAATAGAATCATAGAATCATAGTGGTTGGAAAAGCCCTTTAAGATCATCAAGTCCAACCATGAACCCAACACTACCAATTCCACCTCTAAGCCATGGCCCTAAGCACCTCGTCTACCCAATTTTTAAACCCCTCCAGGGATGGGGACTCCACCACTGCCCTGGGCAACCCCTTCCAATGCCCCAGAACCCTTTCAGCAAAGAAATTCTTCCTCACATCCCATCTCAACTGCCCTGGGCACAACTGGAGCCCATTTCCTCTTGTCCTGTTCCTTGGGCCTTGGTTGAACAGACCCACCCCCACCTCTCTCCACCCTCCTCCAAGGGACTTGCACAGAGCCACAAGGTCTCCCCTCAGCCTCCTTTTCTCCAGGCTCAACAACCCCAGGATGGTGTTTCCAACCCTACGGATCACACAGCCAGAGCTGCGTTCTCACCAAACACGTGAGAGAGAAACGCAGGGGAAGAAGCTCATGAAGAGAGTTTGGCTGCTAACGGGGAAAATGCTTTATAGAAACCTCCAAATAAAGAGGATTTCATCATAAATTTAATTTAACAGTGCAGGCGCTGTCAGCACATTAAGACTGAGTTTTTTGGGGGTTTTTTGTTACCTTGAAGGGTTTTCCAGGTTCAAATGGAAACCTGGGAGCTGTCCTCTCCTCCTTTCCCCAGTTATTATTGAACATGGAATTACAGACGATGACTTTCCTGTTGTCTTCCTTGAAGCGGGGATTAAAGTGGAAAGCAACATCATTCCCTCTCTTGAAATCCAGTGAAAACCTGCAAAGACAAGAATGGATTCGCTATTTCTCCAGCCAGCAGTGTCCCATGGAACCCCCCCCACCCGCCCTCGGTGCTGGACACCCCTGGTACCTGTTTGGGTTGGGGTTGATGGTCCCCGTGATGGTGATGAGCATCCGAGGGACGAGTCCTGCCTGCAGGGGCAGCTCGAAGGGGACTTTCTGGGAGACAACGGGGATTTGGTATTAGCAAAAAAAACTGGTGACAACACACCAGGACAGCCCCGTGACACACTGATCCCCCCCATGCCACCCTCCCTGGGGACAGCCAGTCACAGGTCCCTCCTGT